CGCCTCGACGCGCACCTGGGCCTCACCCTGCGCTGAGACCCAGGCCCGGCCTCCGTTTGGATCAACACCCTCCGTTGCCATCTCCAACTGCGCGCTTGGGAGGTTCCTCCACGTCATGAAGGCTCCGGGACGCTTCATGCCTTTTTTTGTTTTTTGTTTTTTCCTGCGAACAGCTTGAGCCAGGCTGGAAAACCCGAAGAAAAAAAAGAAGAAGAAAAACGAGAAAGAAAACAACAGGAGAAACAAAACATATCATTGCACTGCCTACGGGTCACCAAAACGAAAAAACACTCAGCGCCGGGCGGTCCCTGGCTCGGGAGCTCGGGCTTTCACGGCGGGCTTGGCGTTGGAGCCGCTGGAGCCGCCCCTCGGCCGAGTTTGGACGGCAAAGTCGGAAATGCGATTTGATAGGAAAACTAGGGTTCGACCCCCATTAAAAGAATGGTTGACCCAATTTGGATGTTGACAATCCTTAGGCAAACAGTAGTGGTTATATGAATCCCATTGTTTTAATGGTGGTTTGAACCCCAAGTTATGATCAGTCCCCTATGGCCATCTACACCTGTTGTTTGAAGGGTATCTGAGAATCGACGAAGCAAGAGACTTCCGTGCAAGTCCTTGCTCCGCACTTGAGAAAGAAGATCCGGGTGCCAAAGCCCATCAAGGAGATCGGGTTGAATCACCCATGGGTACCATTTGTCTACGGGTCCCTCCAGAAGGCATACGGATCCCTTCAAAAATCCTCGCTGCTTTTCGTCGCTGTCAACAAATAGGAAGGCGCGCATCTTGTGTGTGTTTCCGCTTGTTCCCAATCAGTTCCCAAGAAGGATACCCTCAAAGAAAAATGCACCGAATTTAGATGCCCCGCAGGACTCGCAGGAAGAACCAGCACCTATACCCCTTACACCCAATACCCACTTTTTTTAGGGTATGATGTCGACCCTCTACTAAAAAAGGAGGTATTTACCATGGAAAAAAAACAAACTAGAAAAAGTGGGTATTTGGAGTGGGAGGTAGATGTTCCTTCACTCTTCGAGGATTTCGCTGGGCGATGTCCGAACCAATGTCGGAGTTCCGTTGTGTCCACTTGCAACTGATGTACTTTCATGTCGGCTGACAATGTTGATTGGAATCTTGGTGAGCATTCCAAACATTCTCTCATGGTATTTTGGGGCTCGTGTGACCCATATCATCTACTTTACCGTAGTAAACATGATCTCCAGCCCCTGTCCTCTGCTCGGCTTTGGAGCTCTGCGGTCTGAAGCCTGGGCTTTCCAACCTCACGGCAAGTCAGCGATCCATCGGAAGCGTCAAAGGGGCGGCCTTGAAGAGTGCTGCATTTGTCTCTCTCAACACGACTTTCTCAACCTATTCCTTCTGTGGTCGGGTGCGACAAATTCACGAGCTTGAGTCGCAATTGGAATGTGGCCAGGCAGCAATGGGACCGCAAATCAAGTTGCCTCATTTTGTCCCTTGCAGAATACATGCCAGAAAGCCTTGCGCCTCTGCGGAAACGTCAATTACCCAGCTACCGTCAGCCAACTGAGAGGGCCACTGTTTGACCAGTTCGACATCATCCAAAGATGTCTCGTGCTGTGGCTGCTGTGGCTGCTGAAGATGCAACTGCTGCATCTGTTGCTGAATCTGCTGCTGCAATTGCGCTGGAGAGAAATCCTGCGGCAACATCTTGCTGACTTGGCCATACGAAAATGGGTGGTACACCTACCCCAAAATGGGATACCATTGGTTTTGACAACCACAGTCATTTATGATCATTGCGTGTGCACACCTCCTCGTCCTCGTCCACTATGATTCTCAGCCGCAGGAACGCCTGGCACTGGCACTGAGCTGCGTCTTAAGCGCAGCTTTGAAACTGCGCCAGAGATTCAACGGCGAGTCCCACAAATCAATACGCGACGGCTAAACTGCTTTGCCATCAGGCACCCCATCAAGCATCACATCGCTCTCGAAGCCGTTCCTTAGCGGAATGGGCCCTGTTTGGCTGCAACAACCGCCCAACCTGGGTGTGATTGATCAATGAAAGCCATGTTACGTTGGAATGGTCACATTCAAGGGATACATTCGAGAAGTGATAATGTTCACTATCGTTGTGGTAATGCTGCTAGTTTGCCACCCCAAACGCGAAGTATCACGAGTGCACTCTAGTCCACTGCAGAAAAATGCTTGACGTCCACTTGATACGCCAAGCCAAGCCGTCTGTCCCATCAGGAAAAGTGGATTAAACGTCGCAGTTGCCACCCCGCGGCGCCTGTAGTAAGAAATGGAACCTGTCGCACATTAGCGCTCAATACCCACTGACGTCGTGCCATCAAATCAGGGAACACGAACCTCCTGTGGAAGTGGCCAAGGGGTGAACTGGGTTCTCAACTGAGCGCCCGGTTCACCCATTCACTCTTGATTCGGCCAACATGGCCAAACGCCAAAATTTACGAAGAATTGATATGGGCCTTAGTTCGTTCATCCCTTCTTTAACCGGGTGGTACCTAACACGCGGCCTCCTCGGAGGGGGGGGGGGGTTGGGCGCTAACGTGGGCTCCGCTGAGGCGGAATCGGAAAGAACTCCTCGCTGGCGAGGCAGATCTCCCCCAGGAAATCGTCGCCGATGTCGTGGCCTTTGAAGCAGTTTGCCCCCGCGGCGCTTTTTTTGTTTGTCGGGTAGGCCCTGTTTTGGGGCGCTGGTGCAGGTGCTGTTGAAGGTGCTATGAAGATGTGCAATCATTGAACTTGATGTTACTAGTGGTGAAGCCCTTTTTGCTCGTAGCGCAGAGAGTAGTTGTGATTGTGTCTCTAAAAGCATTCAATGGCCAATCCTGCGGCAAGACTACCTTGCTGATTCGCATGGACGGAAGACAAGCGTGCAAGTCACGAAATTGGCTACTTGTTCCTCGTTGCGCGCGCTATTCTCACATAGATATAACTTCTGCAAGTGTGCTTGGCGCAGTTTCTTTACTGCGTCGTTTTTCGAGCCCCAGTGTTTTGTCCCCAACGGGCCACTTACCATTGGGGGACCTCAGTGCCCAGCGCTCGGAGCCATAGGTGTCATCTTTGTCCAGCACTTGGAACACCAGGTCGGCTCCAGGCTCGTAATGGATCTCATACTCCTCAGGAATTTAGGTGTATCTTGTTTGCCATTTCCCAAAATGGGACATCAGAATTCGGGTGGGTCCTGATGAATTTGTCCAAGCACTGTGGTTTCAAACGTCGAAATTCTGGAAGCCTCGAACGGGGACACGATCCACGCCACCCGAAGTCAGCAAGCTCCTCATCCCAGTTGGGGTCCAGTGTCTGGTAGCAGACCTCACAAATGAAAATGTTGATTCCGCCACGCGCTCCGATGTGGCCATGGTTCAAAAGCCCGTACCCCCAGTGAACATCCCAATCCCAACTAAAACAGACCAAAATGGGTGGTACACCTACCCGAAAATGGGATACCATTGGTTTTGACAACCACAGCCATATATCCAAAACCCACCTCAAGGATTTAGATCTTAGGGGTCTCAAAGACAGAGGAACCGACTCAAAATACGCGTTGCTTCCCGGAAAAAAACCAGCCCGAAGGGCCCCAAAACAAAGACACGCTCACAGCAGTTCTCTGGGTGCTTGTTTCACTGGCCTTTTCAGCATGAGTCACTGTCAACATTTGGCTGTGGGTAAAAAATACGTACTTAAAATGGAACCCTGGAAAACGGAACCAAAGACTAAAGCATGCGGTCCCCTGGTGGTTTAATTTTGTCCCATACCCATTTATTGTGTGCCCCAATGATAATGGATTTTGGCGAGTGACTGCCTCATGACATGATGTTGCGGCTCCCCAGCTCTCTCATGACAAGTGCAGTAAACGACACACACTGCCGCAGCTCCCCACTGGAAAGTTGCAACTGTAATAGCTCCAGCTTGAAACCGCAAGTTTTCAGCACATGTGTAGTAAACGAAGTACACTTCTGCAGCTTCAGCTGCAGATTGGCAAGTCCAGTTCTACAAAACGCTATCGCTGTGTGTTCCTCCTTTTCGTTTTACAGGGTTTTAGGACACCTCAACACAAAAACTCCCACCCTGACTAAACTGCCATTGCGGGGGACGTAGGGAACCTCAATATTTACGCTCCCTGTGGTTCCCCTTGTTTTTCCAACCCCAAAAACGGCAGACAACATCTCTCGCTGGCCAGGAACCTGCGTCTGGAACGCCGGCGTTGCACTTGGGGACACCAAGCACACCACGTAGGGATCGCACCTAAGTTCAAGAGCCGGCTCACATCCAACCAATCCAAACAGATACCTGACAAGTGGACCCAGGCGCGATGCGCCAAAGAAGACCCACACCCATACGGCTGCGTGACGTGCGGGAAACCCACGTTGGGGCCGCAGTTCACAGCCAGGGCTGGATGAAAGGAACTGGCCCCTCGGCTGCGGCACTTTGGCAAAGGCGCCCATCCCTAGGCCCCGCGCAGTCTGTCGTCCACTCGCGGCAGGTGTGAAGCGCTGCGGATCAGCACCTGCGAGGCTCCGAATTGGAGCCTCGTGACGCGGTGAGGCGGCTTAAAGCTCCGCTGAAGATGGGATGACCAGGGAAACCACCAGAACATCACCAAATTACCAAATGATCACCAAATCATCACCAGAAATCCTAAGTCAACATCTCGCTGACTTGGCCATGGGTCAAAATCCAAATCGTAGGGGTGGTGCACCCATGGGAAAGGTTTTCCACGGTCACCCCGAGGTGTTGCCACGTCGCAAAGAAAAAGAACCGGCGGCGCGTGTTCGTGCCCGGTATCTATCCGCGATTTTCAATGTTGCGCGCGCGCGACCTATTCTTCGTTGCTTTCACCACCCCTCAGCTCGATGTTGCGATTCGAACTGGTTGTTCTGCAGCAAAGCTCCTCGATGCCTTCTCACCTCCTCACTGTCAGCCAATCCTCCCAGCGGGGCTTTGCACATGGCAGCCACTGCAGAGCTGGGAGTTAGGTCGACCTTTCGCGAGCCTCAAACAGCACCCACAGATAGAAGATATTCTGCTGCATCGCAGAACGTCTTCTCCATAGGCGTGTACTCTATCTTCAGCACCTCCCTGGACTTGGTATTGTCGATCAAATCTCCATCCATGGAATCCTCCCCCTCCGCCAGCTTGGTGGGAACTTTGGCGCCCTTCTCATTGTACTTGGCCAGCCAACCGTAGACATCTCGCAACAAAACTCGCTGGTTGTACAAGATGAAGCGCTGGTTGGCCGCCTCTGGCAGCAGAATCGCCTTGAGATGCGCGGCGGCGCAATCCCGGACGTCCACGAAGCTCGAGCTATTCCGGGGGATCTCCGCCTTCTTCCCCTTCAGAATGTCCAGCATGTAGCTCACCGAGGTACCTCGGCGACTTTTGCCCCCGCCTCACCCAAAAACAACAAGATCAACTGTTTGCAGGGTAGCGATGGTAGAGGGAAAACAACAAACATCCCCAACAAGATCAAGGCAGCTAAAGGCAAAGTGAGATCCAAATCGCATACAAGGTACCTTCTCCGTCACAGGGCGCTGGGCCCATAATGAAGCAAGGCAGGATTGTGACCAGGTCAAAGCCTGGGTTGGCCTTCTGATAATCCCACGCAGCCCTCTCTGCCCAAGTCTTGCTCTTCATGTAGTCGTGCAAGCCCTCAGGTCGCTCGGGGTTGGACCAGCAGGTCTCGTTGTACGCTGCAGGTGGCACTGGCTTGTCCTCAGGGCTCAAGCACCTTACAGGTGGCATGCCGAGACATGGGGGTTCCAATGGGTGAGGCCGAATCCCCTTGCAACATGAACCACTTCACTTCACCTCTTCTCCAATATATTGCTTGGCTTCCCAGCTCCTCTGCAGCTGGCGCCTGCATTGCAGCACAGGAGGAGGTGACCACACACCGCTTCACCTTGTGCACGCTGCAGGCCTTCATCACCGCAGTGGTGCCTTTGACGGCCGGCTTCACACAGCCCCCCTTGAAGTGGAACGGCGAGGCGGTGTGCACCACAAAAGTGGCGCCCACGCACGCCTTGATCAGCGAGTCTTCGTCGCTGAGATCCGCTTCCACCAGCTCCAGCCCAGCAAAGAGCTCGCCGAGGCCGAGCTTCAGCGGCTGCAGCTTCTTCTCGTTGCTGGTGCTTCGCACCGTGCCGCGCACGGAGAAGGAGCCGTCCTGCAGGAAAGCCAGGCAGGTCGCCGAGCCCAAGTAGCCCGTGACTCCGGTGATGACCACCACAGGCTTCTCCATGGCCGCAGAAAACGAACAAAAAGGCGGCGGATCTCGCGAACCAAGGCAGACACGTGTTGTATAAATGAAAGGAACCTGGACCCTCAACCTACCCTTACAAGGTTGGAATGAACCCACCATAATTTTGGGTGTGCAAGCAATGATCCCTTTTTGAGTCTTGAGGCATTTCGGTTACATGGCAAATATACAACATCCATCATCTTGCCACAATTCCCATTCTTAAGGCTGGGAACTTGTTTCCAGCGCCCACTTTGCCAGAACCCATTTTTGACCTAGTTGCATGGCCCATTTTTGACCCATTTCTGGGCTGGATGGGTGCCGGAATCCGGAAGTGGGTCTTGGAACCGAACCTTCCAGCGGAACTTCAAATCGGCTGCGCCTGGCACTGGAAGCTCCGAAGGCCCCAAAGTCGGCACCCGCGGATTTTTGGTTTTGCACAGGGTCACCAGCAAAACCGAGGGATGTCAACTCTTCTGCATCCACGTTAAAAAAAAGGGAGCCGCGGATCTTTTTCTGCATCCATCTAACTCGGGAAAAATCGGAAAAGGAGATCCTGCGCCATGATTTTCCGGGGTGGGGACCGCCCCTTCACCTTCACCCGGGCGCCTTGAGCTTTCTGAGGTGCCGCAAGCGAGCCGGGGACGGCATGGCGACGCGCACTGCCACCAGCGAGAAGAGCCAACCACAAACGAAACCGGGGTCCATGTGTATTTATACACATACAATCATATATCATATATACATATAATATCTATCTCCCCTTTAAACATCACACCAAGAGACTAGTCCCAACATTGCCAAAACGGTGACCTTTGTACCACGGAGGAGGGAAAACCAACTTGAGCTTGATCCTTGCACCCCACATTTCGGGGCATAGCGAAAGCTGAAGTGGCAGCTTTCTTTGAGCCATCCTCTCGTGGCAATGAGCTCCATGCTCCCGGCTCGCAACCGCTGACCGCTGACCCGCGCCACATGAACTTTTCTCGCTCGTATAAAACAATCTCTCCGAACATTGGGACTCGGATTTGAGCTTCGCGAACCGGTGAGCAATTAGCATCAATTAGCATCAATTCGCCAAGTCCCGGTCGTTAACTGGTGAAACACTGGAGACAAGACAACGCCTATGTGACATGCCAGGAAAAAGATTCTGCCTCACGACGCCATACCTGCAACTTTCAAGTCAAGCAGTGCGCGAGACTGCACCGCAGCACCCGCATTTCAACAGCAAGGATCATCCGCCTATCGATGGTTGCGCTGCAACAATGCATCCAAGATTGGCGGGAGTCCTTTTGACTTTCGTTTAAACCAAGCTTAAAAAGGTACCTCAAGAAATCGGCCCATATTTAACTTGGATCGCAAAACGGGTGGTTTCCTGCTTGGCCTCCCTTGGCAAACCTCAGGGTACCGAGCCGGAAAAAAAAAACACGCGCCACATGTGACGTCTCTCGGCTTCCCATGCCTCGGATCAGGACATGGTATGTGCCTGACGCGAGCTCGGGCCCGGGGGTTTCCTCTCCCACCACCCGCAGGGTGACCTTCGCCTCAAGAAAATCGAACCACCCAAAGGGATCTTGGTTCAAGGCTGCTAAACTTGAATCGGAGATATTTTGGACAAACATCGGGGCCGCCCCGAAGGCAAAGCTGCGTCAGGTCTGTGAGAAGTGATAGCCCGTAGCCCTGGTCAATGGCTTCTAAAACCAATCTGGGGGGGGGGGGGGCGCTTGTGGAACCCATCTGGGCATGTCTTCTTGCGGATCCCTAAAATGGCAAGGGTGTTCCTCTTGGTTTCCCTCTAAAACCCACAAACAAATCAAGCACCCCCGAAAAACGACACGTGGAGCCGCAAACTACCCATGAAAAAGTTGGAATTCACCAACCAACTTTTTAGCTTGAGGCCATAAACTGAGGGAATTCTGAGGGTTCTGGCAGGTCATTTAAGGACACCTACGGTGGATGCCCTAAATATTGCAAGTAGGGAGCAAGGGAAACCCGGTAAATTCCCATGGCTTGTGTTTGGTTTACTTGCAATATTTAGGGCATCCACCGTAGCTTTAATCGCCTTCCGGCCTTCCCGGCCTTGCGGCGCAATGGACCTGGACGGGTCCCATCCGCGGGGTCAAGTTGAGGCTGAGGCGACACGCTCGTTTTTTTTTTTTTTTTTTTTGTGGGGCGCCAAAAAAGGGCCACCCTTTGCATTTGGGTGTGTCTTTTTTTGAAGGTATATGTGTGTGTGTGTGGTTTCAAAGGGAGCCAAAGAGGGAAACCCACCATTTTCGGGATCCCCTACAAAAAGACACACACATGTTTTGAACATGTCCCGATTTTGAGTTGCAAGAGTCATTTTGGGCAGCTTGTTTCGCAGGGCTTGTCCTGACGGACATCTCTTTCGCTCTCATTCGTTGAATCTAAACCAGGACTTTCAGTTGCCCCACCCTGCAACCATTTTCAAGGATAAAAAATCAAGCACTACTTGATGACTCGAGTCCAACCGTGCGGTTTTGGCAAACCGCAATCGACTCCTCTTCAGAAGTCTAACGACAATGACTTGGGGCTCCTGGCAAACATGACTTTCCTCAAGGGTCCATTTGGCTGGGTCAAAACCCCGTAACCTCAGTGAATTCTCCGGTGGGTTCTCTGACGTGGACGGGGTACCTTTCATGATACTAAGCACTTGCGGCGCTGAGGCTGCTGCTGGCAACACCGATGTCCTGAAATGTGGCAGGCTTCGCGGCTATCCACAAACCCTGGGACTCCGTAAGACTTGGCTCCATGAGGCGCTCTGGGACCTTCCGTGTACCAAGATACTTTTGCATTCCCATCCATCTACTCCAAAAGGAGCAAACGCTGGCAATGCTTAAGCGGTCCGGGGTGTTTCTCCCATTTTGGGGTCCCCTCCTGTGGATGGACGAAATCCTGCACCACCTAAGAAACCCTCGAATGCTGACTTCCCTGTAAATATACCAACAAACCATAATTTCCCAGGGTTTCAAAGTAGTGCAGGATTTCGTCCATCCACAGCATGGTTGATATCCTTTTGTTTTCGCCTGAAGCACCAACTGAACGGGGGGCAATGTTGCAACTCCCAGATCGACGCCTGGCCCTGATTCAGTGCACCAGCTCTGTCACTTTAAGTCCCTGACAATGCGGAAAATCCACAACTTGTGATACCAAAGGCCATCCCCAAGACGTTTTTTTCATCACGAGACTTTAAGCGGTCCCTTGTGCAAAATCATCCTTCGGATACCCTGATACCCAAGAGCGCCATTCCCAAGAGGATTCAGATCACTTCGAGGGGACCAAGACACCCTCGCTGGGGAAATTGGTCCCACCAGTCCTCTGAAAGCAAGCGGTCGATGACCCGTGCCAGGTTCTCGGTGTGCTGCCCTCGGATGCAACTTGCGATTTGGACTTAAGGCCTGGTCAAACATATTAGTTTCTCGAAACATGTGGTGTCCCTTCTCAAAATATGGTGTGTTTGTCAAAAAATGTGGGACCCTTCAGGATGGTTGGTTTCCTTTTGGTCTCCCTTTAAAGCACGGTGAACAGTGCGAAGACCTGTAATTTGAGACATGCCGATCATGTGCACTTTGGAGCCCCAAAGTACCGACGCTTTTCTTGAGGGACACCAAAAAGGGCCCCAATTTTGAAACACCCCCACTTGTAAACAGCGCTGAAACACTTCGACTTGTCTTGGCAATGCATGTTTGTCGCTTGAACGAGCCCAGTGGCAAGCTAATATGCGATATGGGAGCTGAAAAAGATGTCCATCCGGCACTAAAATGTTGGACATTGCTAACTTAAAAGGGTCAAACATGTGGGTTTGTCTTCAACTAGGGTGCAAGAAACCACCGAAACTGGTAGTTTTCCTGGTGTTCGTCTGCAAAGCCACGAGGAAATCGCCGAAATCTGCGGTTTTTCCCTGTGTTCCTCTGCAAAACCACGACAACCATAGGTGGCCTTTTGGAAAAATAGATGGCCCTGGTAAATGGAATAAACCCCATCTAAACCAGGGCCCTCTATTTTTAAGCAAACCAACCAAAAAGCACCTATGACGACAAAACATACCCTGAAACCGGGGCCCTCGGCCAACTTCCTCCACCGAGCTCGCGGCGCCGCTGGCTCCGGGTGGTCTCTGTCCAAGGTCCGGTCGGTGACCCGGCCTGCGCGGAATGAATTCCCAGAAAGTTCAGCCGGAGGTCCCCAGATCTAAGTGGAAATTGGGTTCCATTTGCCCAGATCTTAGTGGACACGTCCATTTCACTCCGACACCACGAATTGAGTTACCAAGGTGTGGAAACTTCCATTTAAGTCTTCTCGCACGAAACATGAGTTACCATGGAAAGGAAGCCATAGCGTTTGTTGGTACTTGCGTTGGGGGATCGAATTTTATCTAGGGGTTCTGAAAGGTGGTGCGAAATGGATTTCGCCCATCCACAGCAGGGGGTGTCCTTTCTGAGACAGGGTTCATCACTTTTGGAGGGAACACCCCCTATGAATCCAGGGTCAACATCAATTTGAAGTAGCTAATAACTCCATTGAGATCCTCGTCCTGCCACTGCATGTTGCAAGGTTTACCCACAGGCAGGCCAAACACAAACGACAACAGTTTGCCCCGCAAGGCAAACTAACGGATTGGCGTTCTGCTTCAGAACGAGCCCTATGAGCTTCCCTTATGACAAACGTCCCCTGTCTCTCAGGCCCATCCCTTCAAGCCTCCGGTCCGGCAGCAAATTCCTGGCACCGAAAAAGTTCATCGGAAAGTCTCTCAGTGCGGTTCATGGGTAATGTTAACCCCGGATTCAGAAAAACTGGTTGATCAATAGGGGGGCATCCCCTTTTCGTGGGGATTCATCACTTTTGGAGGGAACACCCCCTAATAATGGGACGGGTTTATTCATCCTGGGTCAACATTCTGTCCCCCCCCCCCCTCCCATTTTTGCAACAGGGAGCTTTGAGGGCAGGAAGTGTTACAGCTCCACATGGGGAGCACCGGCCCCACTGTACGGGCGCAAAGTGCGGTGAAAGAGGCATGTGGCCGACTGGCAAAAAAGGAAAACAAGGGGCGGCGCCCCAAATCACCTTGCTCCGGAGGGACCCTGCCCCCCCCCTTTTTGGTGGTTTTCCTTTTTGGATTCCTTTTTGGTTTTCCTGGTACCGAGCTTCAAAAACATCCGACACCCCACAGGAACCATGCGACTTTTTCAGGTGTTCGCTACACCTTTCAGCCCCCACCTGCTCCAAGTCGGGCTCGTGCTTGTTGAAGTATTCAAGGAATTCATCGTATTCGATCATCCCGTCACCATTCGTGTCTGCCTGGCACTCATGATCAAGACCACAAAGCTTCTAAGGAAGGTCCGAGAAACGGAGCGCGACATTCTTTTCTGGTGTATATTTGTTTTTGAGGGAGCCCCCGTTTTCTGTAGTTTCAACGGAAAACCCACAGGAAAATCACCAACTTATGGGGTCCCTATCGGTGATGGCACCGAAGCTGAACAGCTTTGAATACTCGGTTGGCTCCGCCCTCATTCATTCCGAACCCGCACAAATGCTCATTGCCCAAAACCTAAACTCAAAGCATGCCTCATCCGCTCTTCTCCTTGCCAAGACAAACCTAGCACTTCGTTGTGTAAAAAGGCGCCCGCGACCGGCCAACGTGGATCACGAAACGAACCGCAAAACCTCAAAGCCTCATGCATTGGATGTGAGAAATATTGGCATCTTGTGGAGGGCTGTGTCCATAGGTGTCCTTTTAGGGGAAATAGATGGGTTTCCCTGGTAGATGACTAAATCACCAGGTAAACCAGAAAAAAACCCATCTATGTTTCAACACAACCAAAAAGGACACCCATGGCTGTGTCATATTCCCGGCAAATGGGCCCAGTTTGGTATTCGGGAGCTTCCCAACATGGATCCCCCGTTCGAGGCCTAAAAGGAAACCTCTTTTTTTTTAGGGGACCCCGAGCTCTTGAGAAAAGCCCAACCTCACCCACAAAACGCCGGGCAGTTGCCTTATGCGTAGCTATGAATCATGTGACTTAGGGGGCAATGTGCAGTTGTAAAGCCTGTCAATCAGTCTCAGGCGAGTTCTGGTCGCACAGAGATGGCAGATTGCAGGCACGACTGCCACTTGCTATGGACACAGTGTACGCACCCCCAGAAACGCCAGGCGGCGAGAAAGGTCGTCAACACGGTGCTTGACAGCTGGCAGCCAGAAGCACATGGTCAGCATGTTCAACATTGCAGCTGCATGCATGGAACCAAGACGAGCAAGGCAAGGATGGCAAAGGAATTCCAGTAGAAACGAGAACACTTTGGATCAAACTCATGTTCATGTGACTACTGTTTAGAGTGCTAAGAAATCCTACACGGATGAAACCCAATTGGGACCTTCTCCCCTATCTGCCGGATATCATAATGTTGACCCCGGATTACATAAACCCCTGTTTGTTAATATGGGGGTCTCCCTGGTTTTAGTGGGGATTTATCACATTTGGAGAGGAACACCCCCATATTAATACACAGGTTTATTAATCCGGGGTCAACATTACAGTATCTCACCTGGCCATGGATCAACAGCCCGTACTCCCAGTGAACATCCCAATCCCCAACAAAATAGGTTCTGAAATGGGTGGTGCACGGATCCCATTGGTTTTGACCCACAGCCACCTCTCTGCCGGATATCAGAAACAGTATGTCTCCCCCGAATTGGTTTCTTCGGATTCGCCTCCCGAATCAGCTGCTCCGCGTCTGTGCCCTCAAAATGATCTCCAAGCACCAACCGCAGGTCAGCGGCCTGGGGTTGAACTCGCTGAAGTCACGAAACTTGAGTCACAATCAAACCCGGTACTACAATGCTTGACCCAAAACCATGTAAGGAAACGGTTGCAACTATTTTTGGCTGGGATTGTCCCTTACTAGCCTTTATCTACCTGGGCTTTGATTGTGGCTCACTTGGCTCCATCTTGTTTGTGTCTTTTATGTGTGTAATATGTAGATACCATGTGATTGATAGGTTTTATGTATTTGGTAATCTATCCATTCATTTACTGACAGGCTTGTATACCTACTCAATTACTGACTTACTTACCTATAGATTGAGTGATTGCTTGGTTTGTTACTTGCTTGATTTAGTGATTGACTTAGTGATTGATTGATTGATTGATTGATTGATTGATTGATTGATTGATTGATTGATTGATTGATTGATGGATTGATTGGCTGGCTGGTTGGTTGGTTGATTGGCTGGTTGGCTGATTGATTGAGTGAGCGAATGAATGAGCGAATGAATGAGCGAATGAGTGAGTGAGAGTGAGTGTGTGTGTGTGGGTGGGTGGGTGGGCGAGTGGGTGAGTGAGAGAGTGAGTGAGTAAGTGTGGGAGTGCGTGAGTGACTGAGTGAGTGAGTGATGTGTTTGTGTTGTGTTGTGCTGTGTGGTGTTGTGCTGTGTTGTGTTGTGCTGTGTTGTGTTGCGTGTTTGTTTGTTTGTTTGGTTGGTTGGTTGGTTGGTTATTTGGTTGCTTGGTTGTTGGTTTGTTCAGTTTTTCATTTCTTCGTTTGGTTGTGTGGTTGATTGGTTGGTTGGTTGGTTGGCTGGCTGGCTGGCTGGCTGGCTGGTTGTTGGATCGTTCAGTTGCTCGTTGGTTAGTTTATTTGCCTAGGTGGTTGCTTGATCGGTTGGTTGGCTGGCTGGCTGGCGGGTTAGTTGGTTGGCTGGTTGCGTGGTTGCCTGGTTGCGTGGTTGTTTAGTTGTTTGGTTGCTTGGTTGTTTGGTTGTTGGCTTGTTCAGTTGTTTGTTTGATTTTTGTTCGTTTGGTTGTTTGGTTGGTTGGTTGGTTGGCTGGCTGGCTGGCTGGTTGGTTGGTTGGTTGGTTGTTTGGTTGGTTGGTTGGTTGTGTGGTTGGTTGTTTGGTTCAGTTGTTTTTTTCTGTGTTTGTTTGTTTGTTCGTTCGGTTGTTTGGTTGGTTGGTTGGTTGGTTGGTTGGGTGTTTGGTTGGTTGGTTGGTTGGCTGGCTGGCTGGCTGGCTGGTTGGTTGGTTGTTTGGTTGTTTGGTTTGTTGGTTGTTTGGTTGTTTGGTTGTTTGGTTGGTTGGTTGTTTGGTTCAGTTGTTGTTTTTTCTTTGTTTTTTGTTTCTTTGTTTGTTCGTTCGGTTGTTTGGTTGGTTGGTTGGTTGGTCGGGTGTTTGGTTGGTTGGTTGGTTGGTTGGTTGGTTGGTTGGTTGGTTGGTTGGTTGGTTGGTTGGTTGGTTGGTTGGTTGTTTGTTTGTTTGGTTGGTTGGTTGTTTGGTTGGTTGGTTGTGGGGTTCTGTTGTGCGGTTGTTTGTTTGTTTGATTGTTTGTGTGTTTGTTTGGTTGCTCGTTTGTTTGGTTGGTTGGTTGCTTGGTTGGTTGTGTTTGATGTCTTGCTTGTTTGCTTGTTGGTTTGTTGTGTGCTTGTTTGCTTATTTGACTGTTTGTTTGTTTGTTTGTCTGTCTGTGCGTCTGTGCGTCTGTGTGTCTGTGTGTCTGTGTGTCTGTGCGTCTGTGTGTCTGTGCGTCTGTGTGTCTGTGTGTCTGTTTGTGTGTGTCTGAATGTCTGTCTGAATGTCTGTCTGTCTGTCTGTCTGTCTGTCTGTCTGTCTGTCTGTCTGTCTGTCTGTCTGTGTGTTTGTCTGTTTCTTTCGTTCGTTCTTTCTATCTTTCTTTCTTTCTTTCTTTCTTTTCTTGCTTTCTTCGTTCTTCTGTTCTTTGTTTATTTCTCTCTTTGTTTGCAAATCTCACTCATGCATTTCGTTATTTCGTTACGACTCGCTTGTTTGTTTACACGTTTGTTTGATTGTCTGTTCATCTATTCAACTGTTTACTTATCTTGGTTGATGTTGACCTGTCTGGAAAAAAACGTGTTATGCGCTTAGTGCAAAACACCTTAACTTCCAAAAAAAGTTAAAGTCTAAAGATCTAACCCAATAGCAGTCAAGTTAAATAAGATATTAATCTTGCCTGGCGAATTTATCTATTCATGTATTTAGTTATTTGAATGTTTTATTTAATTATGTATTACTATTCTTCAGTTACTCACTTACTTATGAATTTGTTGTTGAATTGTTGTTTATTTGTGTTCTTGATTTATGTCTCTAATTATTCCGTTCTTTGTTTTTTAGGTATTTCTTTACTTATTCCCTTCTTTAGTACTTGTTTTCCGTTCTTTCTTTGTTCCTGCGTTCGTTCGTTCTTTCTTCATCTACCGATACGGGTTTCTGGGTTTGTTTCAAGGGAAGCTAAAGCGGAAACCCATGCCCCTCCATACCCAAATGCGCAGACAATTTGCTGGAGTTCTAGCAGACACTTCCCCATTCTTTCCAGGGATCCGTTTTTCTTTTCAGAAAACACCTTCAAAATCCAAGGGGAAACAGCGATCGGTTTTTGAAAAGAACGATGGTTTAAAAGAATGGTTGGAATCCTCCCTTAGCATGGTGAACCCCCTGTTCGCTGGTAGTTGTTTGGAGGGGTAGACAATCACTTCAGAACGCTAAAAAAAATCACTTGTGAACGCTGCCACTTTCGATCACTCCCGAACACTAAAAAAAATCACTTCAAAACACTGAGCACCCGGAACGCCGAAAGGGTTGCAAAACCCGGTCAGTCAAAAAGATCACTTCCGAACGCAGGCGTCCCAGCCCAGGATCACTTCCGTACGCAGGCAGGCGTCCCAGCCCAGGTGTGCAAAATCTAGTGGTGCTGGGGGGGCGGGGGGGGGGGGTGATAAGCACACCTGCTGAAGCTCTATACCCAAATGTGCAAATTCATCTGGTTCTGGGGGTGGGGGGTGGGGTGGGGGGGGGATGATAAGCACACCCGCTGAAGCTCTATACCCAAATGTGCAAATTCATCTGGTTCTGGGGGTGGGGGGTGGGGTGGGGGGGGGGCATGATAAGCACACCCGCTGAAGCTCTATACCCAAATGTGCAAATTCATCTGGTTCTGGGGGTGGGGGGTGGGGTGGGGGGGGGGGCATGATAAGCACACCCGCTGAAGCTCTATACCCAAATGTGCAAATTCATCTGGTTCTGGGGGTGGGGGGTGGGGTTGGGGGGGGGCATGATAAGCACACCCGCTGAACTGCTTCACCAGCAAGGGTGTGCAAAATCCAATCAATTTGTTCGGTGGGTGGGTGGGGATGATAAGCACACCCGCTGAAGTGAACCAGCCCAGCCTGCTCTGTAACCAAATGTGCAAATTCATCTGGTTCTGAGGGCGGGGGGTGGGGTGGGGGGGGGGCATGATAAGCACACCCGCTGAACTGCTTCACCAGCAAGGGTGTGTTTTGCAATCAATTTGTTCTGGGGGGGGGTGGGTGAGAAGCACACCCGCTGAAGTGAACCAGCCCAGCCTGCCCTGTAACCAGATGTGCAAATTCATCTGGTTCTGGGGGTGGGGGGTGGTGTGGGGGGGGGGGCATGATAAGCACACCCGCTGAAGCTCTGTAATCAAATGAACCTGAAACAATAAACCTGACACAGCCCAAACAACTTCACGAAAAAGTGGGGCGCTACAACCGAAACCCAAATCACTTGATCCAGACTCCGGTGGCAGGTGCTGTTAATGTTATAGTACGTTAATGAAGGGTTTAGGTCTTAGGGTTTTTCGAGGCTATCAGAAAAATCCGTCAGCTAGCAGTGCGTGGGCCTGTGGGCAGGTGGGCGCGTGGACGCATGGGTGCCGATTCTTGTCCCAGCGTTCAAGAGCGAAGCACTCGCCGGTGTCTCGGTGCTGCGCGTGGCACGTGGCTGCACTTCCAGCGTTCCGAAGCGATTAGTACGTTTTCCGGCGTTCCGAAGCGATTTTGTTTCAGCGTTCTGAAGCGATGGTTTTGCCAGCGTTCAGGAGCGACGCACTTACCTGTTTGGAGGGACACCAAAAGGAAACAATCTTTTTGATTCAAAAGAACCAAATGGTTGAATCAACCCCTAGGGGAGCGGCATTGCCCGAGCTTGGGAGTCCGGCAGTGATTCTGCCGCATCCGTCCGTGTCAAACTTTCGGAAGGTTCTGCGCAGGACGTCCTGGCGGACGGGCTAGTTGACACACGAACCGAATGCCTCCCACAGACTGGGGCGTGTCTTTCTTTGAGGGACCTTTTTTGGAGGTGAAATGGGGAAACTAAAAGAAACACATAAGGAAAACCACCCCTTTTGGGGGGTCCCCTATGTTGAGACAAACCCATCGTCCTCGTAGACCTTGATTCGCCCCTGGCAAGTTGCGGAGAAACGATGATTGCATGAGTGGGCCAAGATTCAAGCTGTCCGAGTGGACAAACATGAACAAACGCTTCAAACGTACAGTTTTTTTTCTGAGGACGGGCGAAATCCATTTCGCACCACCGTTCAGAAACCCTGGAATGATGCGATTCCTCTGCAAATACCAGCAAACAATGGCTTCCCACGTTTTCAACGTGGTGCAACATTTCGTCCATCCACAGTGGCATTACTGAATGCTGAGAACCAGGATGCATACACCGATCAGCTCCGAGCATCTCCGAGCGCCTGCATAGCAGCAGCCAAGAATTCGCTGTAGGCGATCACGTCGTCGTGGTCAGTGTCCATGCTGGCGAACACAGCCTGAAGGGTGAGCCATCGTTTGCGCATCTCTGCCGTCCAAAAAACACCGGGGCAATTCGACATGTTTGATCTTAGGGTTGGGCTTTTCGGACCTTCTGCAGGAAACCCGCTGATTTGGGACGCCATGTCTAGATTTTCCTGCACAGCCCTTTGAGATATTCAGAGCCCTGGCAAGGGGAGCCACCGCATGGTCACTATGAGTGAAGGGCCGCTTTGGACCGCCAGAACCTTCTGCGGATGTGCCCTGATTGCAAGTAGATCAACCACCACGGTTGCATTTGCAAGGTTTTTCCCTTGTGGCCTTGCAACATGCAGAGCATCCACCGTAGCTCCAAATCCAAAAGCACCCCAAGCCCAACCCTCAAAATGGGTAAAGTGTTCCCCCGAAGCCCCTGAGAAAATTGCTCCTGGCTCGCCCAGAGGGCCCAGAGACCTGGTTTGCAGCGGTCCGCCTCAGCCTCGGCACTGTCGATGTGGTAGTACTTCTCCAGGATTTCTTTCATCTGCGACGCATGGCTCGTCTTGTTAAAAAAAGTTAAGGCTAAACCCCCCGGAAACGGATTTCGGTGTTCTTTTCTTGGTTCTCCTTTCAAAGCGTCAAACGAGTACTGGGTACCAACTCCAACAGAAGGAAACACATGTAAGCCGGCTTTCTCCCTAGGCGCACAAGTCCCGATTTTCATGACCCGCCTGAAGATGAGTGATGGTCCCTGTCTTCTGCGTGTCAAAGGAAAGGAACTCGTTGCGCAGCTGTGCTCGATCCTGGAATCAAGCAGCAAATGCAAGCAACAAGGCGGTTTCCGTGCTTTATTGATATTGGCTACTGGTGGGTCAATTCCCTTCGACATGCTGTTGACTAGATCCGCCAATAGAGAGGATAGAATAATGGTACCCTTGTTTTCTGTAGTCTATTTTAGTGGGGGAACCCTCCCCCAAAAAAGGGGAAAAGGGCACTACTGGGGGACCTAGTTCAGATTGGCTGCTGGTGGGGCAATTCCCTTCGACATGCCGTGGCCCCTTGGAAGGGAAAATGCTACACGGTGCCATGTTCGCATTTACGAAGAGCCTTGTGAGCCATGGTTACAATTTGTTGCGCTTGTTCCCACAACAGGACATAGGGGTCCAATTTAGGGCTCGAACCCTGGCTCAGCTCGTCCCTCTCAGGGACACCATTATTTGCTGGCATTTACAGGGGAAGGAATCATCATTCCAGCGTTTCTGAAGCGTTTCGGTTGTGCGATTTCTGGATTTCGCAAGCATCCACAGTACGGTTCTTGCACAAACGGAAAAGGCCCATACCATCCCGGTTTCCTTTGGGCTTCCTTGACATCTCGAGAGTTTCTTGGGTTTCCTTTGCTCTTGGGTTTCTTGCGTTTCTTGCGTTTCTTGGGTTTCTTGGGTTTCCTTTTGGTTTTGTTTGGGTTTCCTTTGCTCTTGGAGCCCCCCCTATGACCATCCTGAATTTCCTTTGATTTCCAGAAAAGCTTGCTTTTCAGGGTTTGCATGAGATGGAGAGAAAACGGGAAAAATGCAGAATCTGCCTTCACATCTCCGACAGGTCGCAAAGGCGTCCTCTGCAGACAAGGACCACGCCATCATGGAGAGCACGGCGCGGCGGAAGACCGTGGCCCGCGCAAACTTCCGGAGGCTCAGCTTGATCTCGTCGTCCAAAGGCGTCTGCCCCTGGCCCACGGTTCGGTCGCTCCGAGCTACGAGTCGAGGGTTTTTGGTCAACCAGGGATCCGGACGCATTATACACCTGAACATTGCAACTTGTAAATGGTGGCTTCCCTTTATTTTCGTGTTGAAAAAGCAACATGGTTCAAATGGTTGCAAAATGTATCTTTTAAGGAGCCCTGTCAAAGGGAAACCAAAAAGGAACCTTCCTATTTGGGGGTCCACATCCTGATTTGAATGAGGTCATGCACAGTTGTTTTGCAAGGGAATGGTAAGGAACCAAAAGCAAACAATCCCTGAAGTTCCCCTATTTTGACACCCCCAGCTCCCGACCAGCAAAATGAGGTCTGGTTGCGGAACGGAACCGCCCCAGGCACTCTACCCAAGGCACTCTCTCACATGCTGCCAACTCCCGTCTTGGGTGGGGGGGTCATGGAAGATACGTAAAGCGCTCTTGGGTGGTTTCTCAAAATGGAAATTGCGACTCGCAAGTTGGTATTGAAGCCGGAACCCAAGTTTGCAATTGGCAAGCACCGGTTCCTTGGAGAAACACCCAGATCCCTTGGTTTCCCTTTCAAACAGGGGAAAAAAGTGGGGGCAGCTCGAGCTTGAACAACCTGAGGCATCAGCGAATAACTTGGGCTTGTCTCAAAGGAACCGAAACCGCAAACTGGGTGGTGCCCCTTTGGCTTCCCTTTGAAAGCAAGACATACCCATGAGGTTTCATAGGGAACCACCTCAAAGGTGTGGACCAAGTCATCCCTACCGAATTGTGATGTCCAAAGGGTCCGGGATCATCAAATCGCACCTGGGGACCTGACATGACAACGGGATAGCTACAGTTGAACAAAGTCACCCACTTGTCCATAGCTCTGACCTTTGGGCAAAATGGATGGCCCTGGTAAATGCCACTTGTCCCCAGGAGAAAAAAAGGCTTGGCAAGTGGCTAACCCAGTCTAAACCAGTGGACCCCATCCATATCCAAACTAAACCGATCCAAAAGGACACAAATGGCACCTCCCATCCATGTGGCTGTGGGTCAAAACCAATGGTACCATTTTGGGGTGGGTGCACCACCCATTTTAGAACCTGCTCTAGTGGTTGGATTGAGATGTTCACTGGGGGTACGATTTGGCTTTGGTGTTTGACCCATGGCCATGTCTAAGCAAACTAAACCGATCCACCACTTCAAAGGACACCTATGGCCTCCCCCCCCCTCCGCTTGCTCCCACCTGCCCTTCCGCCCCGAGGCCCTGAATCCAGGGGTGCTGAAGGGCGCCTCGCGCGTGACGCCGAAGCCGAGCGACGCCGAAGCCAAGTGACGCTCCCGACTGCCGGAAGCCGCCCCCGATTGAGTCATCAAAACCCCCTGGATCGCCAGGTGCTGCTTTTTTCCATGAACTTACCCCAAAAAGGGAACTGAGTCACTCCCAAAACCCGGTATTACTATGGTTGACCCAGAACCAGGCTTCAAGTGTTCGCAGCTATTTTTGGTTGGGATTTCCCCTTACTAATTTTCATCTACCCAGGTTTTGATTGTGGCTCAATTGGCCGCCCCGATTCAAATGGAACCAAGTCTTCGAAAAGAGGTCCGTTCGGAAGCTGGAGTCTTTGGGGGGTCAAGTGAGCTGCGCCAAAAGGTATCAAAAGGTGATACTGTTCAACAACTCGCGCTATCACAACCCAAAGGACAATTCAGAAGTCGCATCGGCCGATCTCTCGATCATGCTTCAGCAAGCTGCTAGGGATCACAACAGTCAAAAAAGGGTCAAACCTCCGGGGGCTTTCCAAGTCCATGGCCAAGAAGGAGGCGGCGCCGGTGGCCACGGGGGAACTGAAACCAATCTAAGGCTATCCTTCCCCTCAAAAAGAAGCGACCACCCTCCCATCCACCTGGATAGGGCGGGGTTTTGGTTTGGACCATGTTCCTTTAAAAGGATGGCAACGTGAACTGGAGATACCCTTTGAGTTGCAATAAATCAATAAGTGTTGTTGCTCGAGACGAACTGCTCGGGTTTGCCTTTTGCACTGAAATGAACAGCGTCCCTTGAAAAGGGTTTCTGCTCTACCAGGGGTCTGCTTATTTATCCCACAGCTGGACAAGGCAAACCAAACGCTCCCCCCAAACTCACTTTCCCTGGCAACACGCCTTGCCGGCGCTTTGCCCCCAGCCTTGAGCATCAAGACGCGCATTGGGATTCACCACCAGCAAGGCCTCACAGCAGCAACCTACACAAGGCCTGCCCGGACATGGATGTCGGTCCTTTGAATTTCATTTAAGCGGCCTCAAAAACAACAACACAAACTCACATGGCCATGCGTCATCCCAATCCCCACAAAAATGGACTAAAATGGGTGGTGCGCCTACCTCATGGTACCATTGGTTTTGACCCAAAGCCACATCTTACCCTCAGCAGTGCAGAAATCCATCCAGTCCTCACCCCGCCTGAACAAAGTCTTGCGCATTGGCGGAGAGCTTCTTAAATCTGGAGCCCCAGTGCACTTTTCCAGCCCTGGCCCAATGCTCAAGTCGACTCGGCCGAAACTGCGTCCTTTTTGAGGGTATTGCCCTTGTTGTGCGGTTTTTGAAGGGCAGCCATGAGGAAAACCATGTGTTCAAAACCATTTTGCCCCCTGCCTATGTTCAAGGCCTGAGAAAAGAGTGGAAGACATGGCAAACAGGAGTTGGAGGAAGCCGCCGAATTTGCTGTTTAAACAAAAAGTGGGGCAGAGTTGTGGAACTCAGTTTCAGCAATAGCACGAGTTATTCCTATGACTGGTTCATCACTGTACAAGGGGATTTCCTTGGTAGCACAAACAGCAGCGCTACAACCTAGTTTCTACAGCCATGATGGGAGTACTGGCATATTCATCAACAGCTGGGGCTTAGCACTGGTGTCCTCGCGGTACCTTCCTGACACACTTTTTCCTTAAATACTGAATATGTGCATCCTCAGGCGATCAACTCGTTGCATGCCTTTCTTCTAAGAAGCGTTCCTGCAAGCTTTCCCAGGAATGGATGGATTTAGAGCAGTCACTCTTTGGGTGCTTTCATTACGAAAAACACGACTTGCAATCGCATAGCTGCACACCCAGCTTCCGCGCCATCGGTAAAAAAACTGAAGCTGCTCTCCATCCCGCAACCCAGAGAGCCTCTGCGTTCATAATGCAGCTGAGCCGACCAGTTGCAGGAGTGGACGGGAGAAGGTTTCAGGTTTCCTTGTGCTTTGATATGACCCCACAACAGCAGACCAATTTTACCAAAGGACAAACAAAGCTATAGGATACTAAACTGTCGTCAGAAGGTCGCTTCTCGGGGCCGTGTCACACGTGAGTAGCCTTCCTGGGAGAACTGCTCCTTTTCTCATTAGTTGAAAAGCAAGCGCCTCTCGTCGTGAACGCGTCATCAGGCCATGCGACGCGTCGGCGTCATGTCCCTGCCTGATCTTGTTTAGCACCTCCCTGTCTGGCCCGTGAAACGGGGGAGTCCTAGCAGGATGCGAGAGAAGTTGCAAACATGTCAGAGGCAAAGCACGGCTTGCTCAGCCTTCAGAACCCTAGAATTCTCTTGAGGCATCCTTTAGATCCCTTTAGATCCCTTTAGATCCCTTTAGATCCCTTTAGATCCAATGATCTTTGATCCCGAATATTGCCATGTTGCCGCGTTTGCAGCCCTGCAGAAGCCGCTTCCCAGTCCCTGTCAGCAGCATGAAGCTGATGACGCCCAAGGACCACATATCTGCTTTCAGCGTGTAGGAATTTCCCAAGACCTGCGGAACCGGAACTCCCAAGGCAATGGGGCCAAGGATTCTTGGCGCCCCATAATTTTCTCGCCTGGAAAACCCCACGGGCTCGAGTCAAACTGGCGTTCTTCCTCTTGCGTGACTTCCGAGCCTCTGGTGCCACATAGTGAGTGGAGCCACAGGCCTGCGGGCGCGAATCCGCGAAGCTGCCCTCACGATGGAAAAGGTCTTCGCTGAGGTCACTTCCGCTCGAGTGGATTGGCCCAACAAATCCAAAGCTCACGCCAGTGCCAGCGGATCTCCTCTGGGGTCTCAGGCCAAGGAGCCCCGTTTATTAATGTGGGGGTGTCACTCCAGAAGTGATAAATCCGCACCAAATCCACGGACACCCCCACATTAATACACAGGGGTCTACTATATCAGGGGTCAACATGACCTATGTTCCACACCCCCAAAAAACCAGGGAGTGCGGCTATGGGACATGGACATCACGGTCAACATTTCCCAGCTGTCCCCAAGATGGGACATTCTTCCAAACTCGTTATCTGGGAAACTTTGCGGGAGTACCGCAAGCCTTGACCAAAAGTTTGTCTTGAGAGCGGCCTGGGTCATATTCCTACTCCGATCCCAGAACTTTGCAAAGCCGAAATCGATCAGCTTCAGGTGGTCGTTGTCCTGCCGACACCGACTCCAAACTTCGTATTGCTGGCAACTCGGGGGTTGTTGGGGCGTGTCTTTTGAAGTTTGGACCCGCAAAATGTGGTTTTCCTGTTGGTGTCCCTGCAAAAAAACCACAAGAACAAGTATCCTCCCAAAAAGGGACGAGCCACCCGTTTTGCTTCAGGACAACTGTGTCTGCCTGGAACAATCGACGGACATGAAAAAAAACCGACCAGCTCGATTTGCGATCGCTCGTTTTGCCCTCGGCGGCTCCTTCCGCTCATACAAAAAGTTTTCCAGCTTCAGATCGCGGTGGGCGATCTGGTATGTGTGCAGGTATGCCACCTCAGCGAACCCCGTTTTTTTAGGAATGTCTCCGAAAATGGGTTTCGGAGCCCCCTTGTTCGTCCGCCTGTTCGTTGGCATAGGGTTGGAAACCATCAGGACACCCACCATTTTAGGTATGTCAGCCGGGTGAAACTCGGATCGCGGCGGCCAACAGCATCTGCTTTGCTGTCTTTGCAGCAGTGGCCTGCGGAGTCGGCTAAGGTGTTCCAAGAAATTTCTGCTCAAACCCAGTCGCCTTTTGGTTGCAAAAAAAAGATCGAGTGAGTCTTTTGGAGGCTGATGTTGGGAATAAATGGGTGTGGCTCAAATTCGATTAGCTGGGGCAAACCGCAGGTTTGCGTCTTTGTTTCCAGTTCCCAGGGCACCCCATTTCCTTGCTGGTGCTCAGTCGCGAATGAGGGAATGCACTTGGGGATTCCAAAATACGGGAAACCGCCAGTTGGATGGTTTAAATCGGGGTCATTCCAATTCTCATTCCCTGCACCTCTCGCACCAGCAATATTTTTTCGGGTTACCAACCATTGATTGGACCAAAACGAGCCATTTGGGTATGGGTCAAAATTAAACCACCAGGGGACCGCAGGTTTTAGTCCTTGTTTCCATTTGCCGGGGTTCCATGTTGGGTGTCTTTGTTTGACCCACACCCATTTCGCGGGAGCCCCAAAGCGACCAAAGCTTCACGTCCGAGAGCTCCTCTTTGTACACCTTCTCTTGGAACAAGCGGTCATACAGCTCACCGCCCGACATGAACTCCATGACCAAATGAATCTCCTGGGAGTTGGGCGTGGCGATCTTTACTGTCATTGTTATTAATATGATCATGATTATGACTATGACTATTATCATAACCATTATCATGATTATTATTAGTATCATTATATTTCGTATCATTGTTACTATTATAATTATGATTCCTATTGTAATAATAATTATTATTATTGCTGTTATTGCTATTGTTATTACCATTATTGTTAATAGTATAACTATTATTACTATTATTACTATTATTATAATTATTATTATTATTACTATTATTACTATATCTATTACTAGTACTATTGTCATTATTTGCTATTATTACTGTTATGTTTAGTATATAATTAATGTTTACTATAATTCTTATAATTAGTCGTATGATTTAATATTGCTACTACTATTGTTATTACCACTAGTATTGCTATTATTGTTATTATGCTTATTATTGCTATTATGATTATCATTGTTATTTTAATACTATTATTATGACAATTATAATTGTTATTATTATTATGTTAACTGTAATTATTGTTATGGTTATTATCATTATTAATTTACTTGTAACAAGTAATATTGTCATTATTATTATTACTATTATTGTTGTGATTATTACTATTATTATTATGGTTATGATTATTGTTGTTGTGAATATTAATATTATTATTATTCGTATTACAATTACTACTATTAGTACTATTTTTTTCACTTTATTATCATCATTATTATCGTGTTCTGTTTTTCAGATTTTCCCCCCTGGGGGGAGGGTACGTTTGGGGTTGGTTTAAAGGGAAATCAAGAGGACATCACCCGTAGGGAGTCCCCTATGTTGAGACAGACCCTTTTCAAATGCAAACGCAAACCAGCAGGACAAGCTCAAAACGGATGCTCCTGCTCGTCCTCATACACCATGAGCAGCCGAGCAATGTGCGGATGGTCAAGTGTCAGGTAGATCTCTACCTCCAAAGTATTGAACTTTCTGGATCAAGTACAAGCTGGTGGGGGCCCTTATTGTCAGAGTACTAGCAGAAAGTGGTATTGAGCATTAGTCACTCCCATGTTGAATTCCACGTTGCCTTCCAAGTGTTGCACATAAAACCCATGTTTTGCTCCGCACTCGCCCAATATGAGCGTCGCGAGCGTGGTGAAACCATGCGCGCGACTCGATCCGGGCATGGCCGGGTTTTGCCTCCGGAAACGGGACACCAAGGGAGCGTCCGATGTGAGCGGTCAAAATTGATGGCTCCCCAAGAGGACATGGGAAGTTGGTGAGTCTCCTTGGTTTTGTGGGAGATTTCTTCTCGTCCCTCCCAAATGAACCCTCACAAACTGTCACAGACTGGTAATTTTGACCAACCCTCACGTGGCTCCGAATAAAACATGACGTTCCGTTCCCAGTACCCAGTCGCTCGCAGTGAAACATCCGAACCTGCCGTTTGCCTCGGCAGTCTCCATCTGTGCAGTCCGCTCCATTTTGTGAGCGCGCTCAGTCAACCGTATGTACATTCTGAACTGAATCGGGCTGAGAGCATCTTAGGCTCCTTGGCCCTCCTTGGTTTCTTTCTCCTTCTTATCCCTTTCTTCCTCCTCTTCCTCGTCCTCCTCACGCAACCTAGGCTTGAAGCAACACACTAACATGAGCACAAACAGAAGCCCCTGACACCTTTTAGAAGTCGGAAGGTCAAGCAAAATGATGCTTGTCTCGGTAAGAAAGCTCTGTGTGGATCAGCACAACATGTTTGGACGTTCACGAAGCTGCCCAACAAAGGAAAAACTCAAGTCTTCAAGCCGAGAAGCGAGGACTGAAACCAATCGATGCCTTCCTCCTTTGCTTCGGGTTGAGGCTCAACCTCCTGGATGCTTTCCTCACCTAGTGCGAGAGGTCAGTCTATGGGACTCGGTCAACTCCAAGTTTTGCACGCAAAAAGGGAAGTGTCCCACACGTCCAGAACTGCCACACTGCACAAGACCGATGTGCACATTCGAGTGGCAAAGTAACCAGAGTGGTAGGAATCAATTGCGGACATGTCTCAAAGTTGGACATGCCCATGCCAACTTACTTTACACACACACACATGCTTAGACTCCACACCCCGAACCAAAGACCGAACAAACCAAGGCACAGTCTTCTAAGTTGCTCGCATCGACGGTTTTGGGGTCCGGAAAAAACTGGATGTCTTCGGCTCCACCCTTTTGGAAACCGGAACATTTTACCACCTCCTGCTTTTTTGCTGTGTCTGGAGCTTGAGGACATGTTCATCCATGCCTTCCCTTCCTTTCACCTTCATACGGCTCCGGAAGAATTCCTAAGGTCGCATGTCGGGCTCCCGCGCCTTCCGGGTTCTTCGCTGGAGACTCGCTTCGCCCGGAGGATTGGCGATGCATCTGACCCTTGCGCTCCCCCAGAAGCTCCTGCAGCTGCCTGGCGCTCCGACGTTCACGACATCCACGACAGCCACCACGCAAAAATTGGCCGCAGCCACCCAAACCATGGGGGGGATGTCCTGAAATACGGGGAATTGGCCGTACCCACCCAATTTGGTTTCTTGTATGTGCTGGTTTCTTTGAGAGCGCTTTCCAACAACTCGGACAAATCCAAGTCCATGGGATCAGTTGATCCCATGAGACTCATCACACCTTGGGCCTGTCAATCATGCCAGCCATGCAGTTGTCTGGCTTCGAGCTCCTCACAATTTCACGCCCCTCAAGACTTGTCCATGAGTCGGCCAGAAATTCAAAATCAAGGAACAGATGGGATTGAATTTATGTTGGGGACTCTTTACCGGACATCATTCAGAATCCAGCCACTTTTGGGGGCTTCCCCAATCAAACTCGTGGCCATGTTTGGTTGATCTGCTGCAACGAATCAAAATCGGATTCGGAGCATGGTCAAGGCCCAGCACATGTTCGCAACACAACCCGGTCCTCTTGCTTTTTGCGCCTCACCTGAAACTTGCACCGATGGCACTTCTGATCTGCTTGGTTGAGAGATCCCCAAAGCAACAAGTCTAGGTGTTTGTACGTGTCCGAATGGTTGTACGCCCAAAATTTTAAAATGGTGGGTGTCCCTTTGGTTGAGCCAACAACGAAGCTCAACCTCGCAAAAGAAACACAAACAAACAAACAAACAAACAAACAAACAAACAAACAAACAAACAAACAACAAACACAGACACACAGACACACAGACGCACAAACACACACCCACCGACGTACACCGAGGTCTGGCCAGCTCCAACTTCTCCTCTCGCGCAGCTGCTTTGGCCTTCATCTTTTCCACCTGAAGCTCGCCCTTTTATCCGCGCACCACTCTCGCACGTCCGTGGCTCAAGTCGAAGCTGACAAACCTCCAGAGGTCGATTTTCAGGTCTTGAGGCCCCTTTTGAGGTTGGCTTCAAGTGAAACAGGGAAACCCCACCATTTTGGGGCTCCATGTGCCGATTTGGAGGAGCCATACCCACATGGGGGCCATTTGTAGAGCAATGGCCATGGGTGAAAATCCCAATCGTACCCCCACTAGACATCCCAATCCCCACTCACATAGGTTCTAAAATGAGTGGTGCACCTACCCCAAAATGGGATCCCATTGGTTTGACCACCGCAGCCAAATGTCCCCAGAAGCCAAAAGGATTCCCGCCGCCCACTTGAAGGGTCGCCCGTCCTGGGCCATGCGAAGCGCACCCACCCGCTGCGGCACTTTCTCCTGAGAACGATACAGAGCGCTCAGGAGCGCTCAGGTTTTGACGAAAACGCATGGACGAACTAGCCCAACTGGTTCTCCTTTTCAGGGAATGAACCACCCCTGGGTTGAAGCCTGGGTTTCTGCGTCGAACCTGAAATGGTCCAAAAGAGAAACCCTGGGACCGCTGACTTGGCGGAAAATCCCGTTGGTTGATACTCAAAGGGAAGCCAAAGGATCCAAATCTTTTCGTCGGAGTTTTGCGCGGTTCAAGATGACATCATTTCCCCATGGTTGTGGGAAAAAGAAACAACGAATGATACCAAAGTAGGCCACCCCCAAGACTACTTTATCAGTTTCAAAGGGGTTTTGTTTGGTGTCCCAGAAATTTGTCCTAAAACATCCTAAAACCAAGTTCTCCACAAGCAGATAATTGTTTCGTTCATGGGTACTTAAAAGGGAAACCTTACAGGTCCAAGGCACCCCGCCCCTCCCGTGCAAAGCTTGCTCCTTTTCAGCCAGCTGGTGGAGAAAGTGGGCTTCACTTCGCTCAATTTCCTGGAGAGAGTCGTGGGGGCAAAGCCACTCGCCCGTTTAGCAAACCCGCCCCATCACCGCAGTCAACCTTTGGAGAACAAGGATGTACCAAGCTTCAATCTGGTGAGAATTCTCCACATTTTCTGGACGATGAAATCCGGATATACAGAATCTTCATATAATATGATTCATGGATAGGCATAGAAGACATGCCAATGCTATGGCAGCAATGGAGCATCGGGCGGCTTGCCGACGTTGTGGCGACAAAATGACGGCGGCTTGCGAGCGCCTGTGCAGAAAAACAGGACTTCTTTAGGGCCAGGGTGAGGAGGTGAAAATATGACCCTCGCCCCACAAACAAGGTGGAGTCTAGCTGGCAGCCAAGCCAGACCTTATTCTCGAAAATACTAGGGAAGATATGGCCGAGTTCCGGAACCAACCAACCCGGTGACCCTGTCTCGCAGGCGTCGTTTTCGCCCAAGTGGCCCTGGCATTGCCCCTCTTGCCATCGCTCTGCCCCGCTGCTACCCGATGCTGCTCTGTGGTCGCCTCTTCGCTATCAGTATCGCTGTCGCTCTGTCGCTCAACTGTCATGCCCTTGTCATCGAGTGGCCAGAAACACGCCTTCACATGTCTTCTAGACGATATCCTATGTGCGCCTCCACCCTTTGCACTATCCAAAGAGGGCAGGCCTCATCCCGTCGGCATCGCGCGGTGGAGATGCGGTCAGCCGTCTCCTTGTTCCAATGCCTCGCCCTCTCCTAGGCTTGCATGCAAACCTGCTTGGATCGAATATCATTCGCACCAGTTCGCGGTGGGTGTCAAAAAACAGACCCATTCTGAGTGAATCAAGAACCAATTGGGCTGTGACAAGTAATACCATGACAGGAAGAGAAATAGTATTTCATACCACTGCATCCAGAAACTGAGGCTCGAACTAAGGCGTCTCTCTTCCAGCTTATCCTCCCAGGGCGGCCAAGGTGAGATCGGATAACCTTCCATGGTGATCCGCGAGTTTCTCATTGTGGACCCCAACTTTGACGAGAATAGTTCAAGGGCCACCAAAAGGAAACCCTTGACAGTTTAAGGGACCACACTTTTCAACCCTGGGCAAGGAAGCAAACAATTTGAAGAAAGCAATCTGAAATGGTAGCCAAGCGAGCACAGGCCCGTCCTAAACTTCTGCAGGTTCATCTCCTGAAATGAGCTCTGCAGCAATTCACGTGCTTTGTTGGATGCCCATGCTTGAAACTTGAAGACTCTCGACTTATTTCAGGGCCCATTCTGCTCCACAGAATCCCAACCCATCCCATCTGAATCATGCCTCCCGGCCAGCTCAAAATGTGACTTTTTGTGAGGCTCACTCATTTTGGTGACAGGGGAACGGAAAACCGACACCATAACGGGGGCCTCAAAGACGACACACGCCCAAAAACATCGCTCTAGGGACTTGTCTCAGAATAGGGGAACCCTCAAAATCGGCCGGGTTTTCCTGTTGTCCCCCTTGTAACCCCCCCCCCCTCCCCCCCCAAAAAAATACAACAACACCCAACCAACACACAAAGGCTCAAAAAAGCCACACTCAGGTTCTGGTTCTGTCGCTTTCGAGTCGAGGCCCCGGCCATCTTGTCCACCTCCCGGGGCGCCTTGAGGTAGGTCCCATCCAGCGGCTCCAGCGGAGGCGGCGGGGCCTCGCAACCCGCAGGCGGGGCGCAAAGCCGCAAAGCCTGCCTTTGGGGGGGAACGATCGGACCCGGAAGAGCTATGTACTTGCTTTTTGGTGTGCCGTTGTTTCTTTAAGACAAACATGTTTTCTGCTGTTTTGTTCTGCTGTTTTGTTCTTACCAAGACAAAACACCCACCAGACTTTAGGTGGTGCAAGAACCAATTTAAGTTGGAATTTTGAGGGTCCAGGTACCCCTACTTGGTTGGGTTTAACCTCGGATTCTCAAACTGTTCGGTTGGAAGGTCCCCTTCGAGGACTCAGCGCTTGAGGATTCCCCCACAAAACAGGGAGCCAAGAAGGAGCCCCTGGTTTGATGAGCCACGGGCTGGTCGTTTTTTGGAGCAATGGTACCCGTTTTTGGTTTGTTTTTGGGGAAGCCAACAAGGAAACCACCAGTTTCGGGGTCCAAATTGTTCGTTTTGGGAAGCCGAAAGCAAACCTCCCTCATCTTGGGCTCCAAATCCCCCATTGTTGACAATGAGATGGGTGGAAACTGGTCAATAAGGGAGCTTTGGTCCACTGCTCGGCAAAATAGACTTCAGCCCCGGAGTTCTCCGTTTGGGGGAATGAACCGCTGGGTTTAAGTCTACCCTGGCGCAGTCAAAAAGTAGAACCCTGCCACCAGTTGGTTGGGTTCCTTTAGGTGACCCTTTCAATCCGGGATGCATATTTTGGAGAGGCCTTGACAAAAAACTTGTGGTATAACTTTTGGTGGAATCTCTAAAACACCTTGTCAAAGACTGAATGTATACGTCCATATATGAACCCCTGGTATGAACCCTAGTTTATGGGTTAATCAACCGTGAGTTATGGCTCAATTCTGGAAATCAGCCTCTCTTACGGGTCCCAAATGGTCATGGGTTCATACATGGGTGTGTCTTTTTGAGCCTCGGTACCCTTTTTTGGTTGGTTTTCAAGGGAAGCCAACAGGAAAACCAAAACCCATTTTGGAGGGGGACCCCGATTTTAATAGACGCGCATATGGAGCGAAATCGGACCTCAGCCTTTGATAAGCCTTGAAGCCTCCATGGACCTATCTAAACCCTCAAAAAACATATATCAAAACAATTGGCTATGGCCACCCAAAATCATGGATTTGGCGCTTTCCAACTTATATGGGTAGTTTGAGGGTTTAGATCTACCCCTTGGCCTCCCCATTGACGTGTGTTCCCCGAGCGCCTCGATCTTGCGGACGTAGCGATACTTCAGGAGCTTCGCGTGAAGGCTTTGGCCTTCCTCCTCGTCCTCGTCCTTTCGCACCTGTGGCTTGGTGGCTTGGTCTCGCCGGGTTTTGTGTGGGGTTGTGGGGGGGGGGGGTTGGTTGGCCGGATGAAAGGTTTTGTTCTTGGGGTGATGGGGGGGGTTGGTGGGTTTTGGCGGATGAAAGCTTTGTTCTTGGTGGGTTGGTGGGTTTAGAGGACAAATTGGACGATGAAGCTACAAGAAAAGGGCTTGGTGTGGCTTATGTGAAAGGACCTTTGACTATGTCCGTATCTCCTCCCTCTGTTCAGAACCCGCTGTACCCCTGAAAGTACCCCTGAAACCGCTTGCCCCACGATCCTGATGTACCCGAGTACGGCCTCTTTCAGCTGAAATCCAAGCGGGAATCAGCTCCCAGCGCAGTGTGCAGTCGGACAATCTGTAGTCTTTGTAGCGGTGTGGCAAAAGAGGGGCTTGGACCCCCCAAAATGGAGTTTGGTTTTCCTTTTGGCATCCCTTTCAAACCCCCACAAGAAGGATGTCCTGAAGGAAAACAAACACACACACACACACACACACCCACACCCACACCCACACCCACACCCACACCCACACCCACACCCACACCCACACCCACACCCACACCCACACCCACACCCACACCCACACCCACACCCACACCCACCACCCCACACCCACACCCACACCCACACCCACACCCACCCCACACCCACACCCACACCCACACCCACACCCACACCCACACCCACACCCCCACGCACGCACGCACGCACGCACGCACGCACGCACGCACGCACGCACGCACGCACCCACACACACACACACACTCACACACACACACAGGCACACACACACACACACACACACGGGCACACACACGCACACACACACACACACACATCTGCATGTTGTCGGTTCGTAGCATGGCATCACATGGGAACCTGTCAAATTCCTAACTGGGGGGGTCGCCTATGGTATCCCAGACAAAAGCCAAAAAACAACGTGTGGGGTGTCTCAGAATACAGGACCGCTTCTCACCATGTTTCAAACCAACACAGAAACCACCCCCCAACAGCGATTTGGACGCTCGGGGGGTTCAAGGGAAAACCAGTTGGAGGGTACTTGGGTGCTCGCTCCGCCACAGTAAGTTGTAACCGCAACCGTCCGGTTATAACCTCTTATAAGTCCCCTTTTTCAGTGGAGAACAACTTGTTAGTGGTTTATAACCCAGGTGGCGATCCAGCCACTTACTAACTTGGCGAATCGAACCAAGTACCCTCCAACTGGGCTTTACCCCCGAGCGCCCCAACAAAGCTATCGGGGGGGCTGGTTTCCCTGTTGGCTTCCCTTGAAGCATGGTGACAAGCGGCCGCCTTCTAAAGTCTTTTGACCGCCGGCCAGCCTCGGACTTCTGCGCAAGGGACATGTCCGTGTCCACTCCGGCGATCAGATTGCGAAGCTCCATCTGCAGTTTGTCTCAAAGGGAAACGGATCCCCCAATTGAGCGAACCGGTCCCTTTAAACCAACCCCCCCCCCAAAACAGCTTCCCTATATTCCCACTTTGAGCATCGCCCCACCAAGACGAAGTCACTTTGGATTGGGTATATATGTATCGAATAAGAGACCCCCAACAGTGGGTGGTTTTTTTGGTTTCCCTTTGAGACGTGCCGAGCTCCACATAGTGAATATCATCAGCTAACACTTATCTTGCAAAACACCAGAAATCCGGGAAGAAAGCACTCCCCTGACACGATTTTACTAGTTGCCTGCCTCATATTGTCGATAAACGAAATCCTGCACCACCTAAGAAACCCACGAATGGCAGGTGGTGGGTTTCCCATGGCTTCAAAGTGGCGCGAAATGGAATTCACAGCTATCCACAGTACGGTACAACGCCTTGTGGGTCGGATTTCAACCACTAAACCACAATAAGCAAACATGTAAAGTGTTTCCCAACAATAGCCATGTATAGCCGTTGTGGCTCTCTAAACCAACAAATGCCCAGTTATTTGCGACCTCCCCCTAGGACCTGGAAAGAGGGCACGTCGCGCGCAGCGGCGACCCTCTTCCTCCAACGTGAGTTCCCAAAGAAAAAATCGATTTTTGCTTTTTATGGTCAAGGTTTTTGCTGGCCTTCCGAGTATCCTACGTATTCCTAAGATAAAAAAACGGTATAGAACCTGAGGCCCTAGGGCCCTAAGGCCCTAAGGTTCTTAGGCTCCCAGGATTCCAACGGCCAAACCCCCCGCCCCCGCGCTCCCGCGCGGGAGCTCGAGCGCGCGCGGGAGGCTCCCGCGCCGCCACGCTGTCGATCTCGGCCGTGAGGGCCTTGGAGTCCACTTGAGGCACCTCGCGGGCCGCCGGGCGTTCGGCTTTCCGCGCCGAGGACTTGTCCGACATCTGGGTGGCTCGGCCACAAAAAAAAGAGGTTCAGGTTCAAGCTCTTGAGGAAATGGGTTCAGGAACTTCATACTTTTCTCTGGGTTCAGGAACTTGCTGACCAAGATGGCCCAAATCCAAGTGAGACTTTCGTCCATGAACGTGCGCCACCCTCCCACGTTGCCATGGCACCTGTGGGAGGGTGCCTGGAAGATCACTTTCCTCTATCCCAGGCCTCCGTAACCGGAACACCAAGTCTTCCATTTCGGGGTTCGCAACCGGGAGCTTCCATGGAATCGCCTGAGGGTTTTGGTCGGGGCTCAAAAATAAATGCTTTCTCGTTCAGAAGTCTCAACCCCCCCCCCCTTGTACCCTCCCCCCTTCCCCCCTTCCCGCCCCCCGGCGCTTTTGGGTCCAAATGGGGTCTCAAAAATGAATGGTTTCCTTAAACCCCCCCCCCCCCTCCTCCCCTTCCTCCCTTCCCCCCCTTTCCCCCCCCCCCGGCGCCGCTTTTGGGTCCAAATGAGGTCTCAACTTCCCCCCATCTTCCCACAGGCCGTCTCCCCTTCCGCTCCGCGCCTTCGCGGACTCGGAGATGCGCCTCTCTGAGGCTCGCTCGCAGCGCGGGACGCGAAAAAATAAATAAATAAAAAAGCTGAGAACGCGAGAGGCACAGGTTGACCCGGAACAGTGAACCAACCGGTTTATTAATAGGGGGGGCTCAACCTTGGGTTTAGTGGGGAGTCATTACTTGGAGAGGAACCACCCCCATTCATAAACTGGGGTTGATGAAATGTGGGGACAACATTACCATTTTTTGCCAACACTGTGGATGGACACAGCTGAACTCGGATGGCCGGCGGCTTCTCCCACAAAAGGGGTTCGTCCATCCTAAATGGTGCGAGATGGATTTTGTACATCCACGCTGCGTTGAAAGCTTTCGTGGGATGGGCCAAAATTCTAACAGACCCTTTTTCCGATGGTAGTGAACAGAAAGGCTATCGACAAGGAAAGCCTTGCCACACTGTCCTGTCAGCTTCCATGGCACATGCTGCAAGCAAGTGCAACAGCATGAACCTGTCTGCAACGTTCAGCAAGACACATGCAGCCTATGCGACGTGCAGTCGTGCCCTGCCTGTCTCTATCATTCTTCA